TGTGTGTGTGTGTGTGTGTGTGTGTGTGTGTGTGTGTGTGTGTGTGTGTTTCTTTCTATGTGTGTGTGATCTTGGCAGGACAGAGAGTTACGGCCCTGAGAATGGCCTTAAAAGGAAGGAGAGCTGTGGACTTGCATGCACACATTTAAACATGCATAAGAAAAAAAAGTGCATGTGTTCACACCCTAAAAGAAGTAATTTAAGTGCACACACTGTTTTGGGGTTGCCGAGTTATATATTGTGCCGGTACCATGTATTTTATGTGTCAATTAGGGTTTGACACATTTCTGTGTGTGAGCTTGTAAGGCCTTCACGCTGCACAGGAAATCATAATCCATGGGTAGTGTTCATATGTATTTTTATTTACATCTTTGTGTGTCAACATCAGTGAGCTCAAAGGAGGAAGCTGCAGGGAAACTGATAATGCGTTCGCGTGAGAAAGTTCCAGTCAAGGCGCAGCGCCCTGTGGAGGCAAACGTTGAGCCAGGTTTTTGATGCAATGTCGTCTCTTTAAACTGCTAAATTCAGATAGGAAAACATGCCAATTACCAACTCGTCAGAGGTGAATATATATTTAGTGAGAACACAGCAACATTACATTACAGTCATTTAGCAGACGCTTTTATCCAAAGCGACTTACAATTCAGATTCTATCACATTTCTACACTGTAGGCACAGCTACGGAGATATTTTGGGGTTAAGTGTCTTGCTCAAGGACACATCGACATGCGACTAGCGGAGCCGAAGCCGGGGATCGAACCGCTGATCCTCTGATTGAAGGACGGCCCTGCTCTCCACTTAGCCACAGTCGCCCAAAATGACCGTCGAATCTGGCTGTCAAACTGCTCCCATGTATTTGTCGTTCATCTTTATATTCTAGTATGTGTAAATGACTGCATTTGGTTTGTCGACGATTTTATTCTGTCAACAAATCACCAGAGTGATGATGTCACTACATTAACTTTAAAACAGCAGGAGGAAAAACCAAACAACTAACAAATGACTGTAAAGATGTCATTACAGCTGTGTTTAAATTGAAAACATACTGTAAAATGGCGCAAACATTTTGTGAGGCTGGAGGACACTTTCCTCTTTCATGCTTCTGTATTAGCTGTAAAAAATATATATATATTATGCTTCAGTGATAGTTTAACACTTAATAGTGTTGTGTTGATGCTAAAATGATAAAACGGTTGAATTTGTGGTGTCATAGTAATATTGGATATCTACGACATTAATATAATTTGCACCAAAAAAGTTAATTGAATATATTGTGGTCATACGAATCGAATTTGTTACTAATTGAATGATGATGCAATAATTCGTCCCCATGACAATCTACTTAATGAGAACATTCAGTAAGAAAAAATGTTTAGAATTTATTTGAACTTTTCCACTAGAAGATGGTGGATTTGATGCTTCAACGTCTTCTAGTTGTATAACCTCTGTATTTTCTTATTCATTTGTTTTTGCAGATGGAATGACAAAATAGCCAAAGTGATGTAACACTTGTTTTATTACAGAAGTGAATCTTGTCATGTCAGCAGAAACAAGCAGAAGTCCCCTTAATGTCCTCAGTGTTGTCTGAGACTTTAACTTTTAAATCTCTTTGTGCCTCGGCCTTGACAGTTTGGCTTTGATGAGGACAAACTGACAACATGTAACATTCCCGTCTCTTGTGTCGCGTTACTTTAGATTATTTAGTCCACGCCCCAAACAGCTGAAAAGAATATGAGTGACATTTGTTCTTTTCAGTATCTTAATGTGCAGTTTTCCTCGCCTTGGAGTTATCTCCAAACCTCCGCCAGCTTTGACTTTCTCTCAACCGAGGAAGATGCTTCAGCAACACCGAGCCCTGCTTTTCATCTGACGTACTGTAGTTAAGGTTTCAGGCGAGGTTAGCCTCTTGCCAGGAAAATTGTAGTATTCAGTCCTCCAGAGTCGGTTCCAACAGACCGCTGCAGTCTGATACGTTTCCTCAGACCTCCGATAGTCCTCATCTCATCTCAGTGTGTGTTTGTGCTTTTCAATGTGTTTGTTTCAGCTCTTCTAGTTTCCCTCATGGTTTTATTCTGTGCGTTAATGTGCCTACAACTATGCATCAAG